ATTTTGTTTTAGAGCATGTGCAGAAACAAATCAGCCAATTTTTTGGGAATAGTCAATATCAGAATATTTCATGCATATATATAACGCAAAAATATCATAAAATAAATATGTTTATGTGTGAAATGCCAATTACTTAGTACTTTTTTAATTCTGATAGCTCATATGAAAATGTTTCCAAAATTATTAGACACTATACCGATGATATAAAAAATATATCAATAGTTATTAATAGCTATCTCGCAAAAAGGGTGAGTTTGTTGTATTTGATCTCAGTAGGTCTGAGAATGATCCTCTTGCAATTCAGCTAAGGTTTGACACACTATTGAACCTGCAGAAAGAGATAGAGGTGAGGTAAAAGTGCAAGGAAAATAATACTCAAGCTAATTCATGCAAAGCGCCTCTCAGATAATTTTTTTCCAAAAATGATGATATTATTTTTATTATATTTATATTCACATTATACAAGTATTGGGTGATTTTTAGCAATATAAAAAATAACTACAGCGAAAAATACTAATAGCTAGATATAATTATTTCTATTATTATGAGTGTAGTGATGATACTTGTGAGATAGAACCTCCATTTTCTTCATATGGCAGTAGTGGTGAGGTTTGATGTCTTCTTGCAATATTTTCTTCATAGAGCTGATCATAGTAAGTCACTATAGTGAAATAAAATATTAGGGAATTAGTATATCTTCTCATAAATATTTCCTTCCTCTGATCAACTAATCTTTACCTGATATTTTTCAGAACTATTCTTTAAATTCCTCATAATACTTGAGGCTGTTCTTAATCTTTTTTCCATTGGCTTTACCATCAATGTATGCTTTCATACGCTAAATAGAAAAGATAAATTAGTTTGACATCAGGTGTCATAGGAAGACATTCATATGATTGGCCGATCAGATTACACAAATTTTATAATCAATATTGTAATTATTTATATAGGTCACGTGATATTATTATTCGAAACATTAAATTATATAAAATATAACACTGATATTAACTTAAAATTAAACTACTTATATAGACTTTGGAAAATTTAACTACTTACTTCAAAGGTCTGTATTCTATTTTAATATTAAAAAAGAGATATTTTATATAGTTTTAGCAATTCATTTTTAGTTTTTTTTGCAAAAATTATGTAATTTTAATCTTTTTGACTAATGTAAATCAGCAAATTATTAAGTTAAATAAAGCCTTTATTTATTATTTATAAATATTATTGTAATTGAAATTTTCGCAATACTTCTTCTAATGTAAATTTCATACATTTTATCAGTTTATTTTTATTATTATCATCACAAGGATCATTGTCATCATCTTTTTCAACTTGCACTTTGTTAAATTGTTGCAATCGTGTTATTAAGGACTTGACATGTTCATTAACACCATCTTGTATAAATAAAAGATAATATGAATACTTATATCCATTATTTTCATAGCAAATTTTATGATATGTATGACCGCAAGCTAAAATTACAATCGTATCTATATTTGTGGATAAAAGAATAGAACAATTAGTTGCATCACAATAACAAAATGGATTTGGCTTACACAAAATATTAAAACCTAAAGGAAGATGATATAATTTTGCTCCAGGCATTTTCATCACGGCTAGTATAATAGTATCATCATCAGATTTCTTTTTCCCTTTCCTTTTTGAAGATGAATTTATCATAATAACCTGTGATAGAAGTGATAATGGAATTTTATCATTAAAAAAGCATTTATAAATGTCTGAAAAGCATTGTAACAAAAAGCAAGCACTTTTTTTGTTAAAATAGTAATATTCTATGCAGAATATTCATATGCTACCCATGTTGATATATGTGCAAAGTTTTCTCTGAAACCATTATCATCTAAACGTAATTGGTTAATATAACGTCTATATTTGATAATTTGTTGTGCTTCTGTATATTTCTATGTATCTCTACGCAAGAAACTATAAAAAATTTTAACAGTTACATCTGTAATTTTGGAAGTTCAGCCTTGATTATCTCTAGGATTAGATGGTTATTTAACTTCTAATAAAAGATATCAGAAAAGAACATTAATGATGCTTTAGTATAGTTTTTGCATTGAAATTTCAAAAATATTGTTCATACACGAAAACAGAATTCCAAATAAGCATTAAAATCATCTGATCAGAAAAAAATAGCATAAATATCCAAGACCAGAGGAATTACATTATCAAGAAGATCTTTAAGTGCAAGATATTTGGTATTTTTGCATAAGAATCCAAATTTTGCTTCAACTACTTTAGAAATTTCCTACCAAGCATTACGAGAAATCTCTAAAAGTAGATTAATACGTTATGGTTTAGGTTTTTGTGCAAGAGGCTTTCGTTCTCCAAATTAGTCCTTATACATAGCTGAAAAAAAAGGCTGATATTGAAGAAATACTAATTTCTGATTATTTAATGAAATATGTAAAGGACCTATAATGGGAATAAAAGATAAAATAGAATCAGTAATATTTGAAGAATCCTTATAAAGCAAATAATGAGAAATAACTATTCTAAGATAAATTTGATCTGACCAATCAGCAACAATAGGAATAATCTGTTCTTTTTGAATGTATTGTTTTATAAATGAAACATTTGTAACAGCATTAATGTCTTTAATATATGTATTTAAAGAATGAAGGTTATTCTCTTGTAAATCTACAAGAATAACATTCTTTATAGAACGAACAATTCGTTTTTCTTTTAGCCTAATATTATAATTATGCACTATTAACTCTTCTAATTTCATATCATTATTAACTGTACGAAATTCCCAATGCTAATTATGTGAAAATCCATAAAGCATCATAAATTTATTTTCTAAATTCATTTAATCAATTCAGCATCAACCAATACAGAATTATGTATGTATACAGTTGGAATTAGGGATAAGAGGAAGTTTTCTTTCCAGGCATCTTGCATTCTGTGAAGCAACAGGATTCATTAGGATTGTTGCTAGATGCACAGCAGTAGATGTCATAGTTTCATTGGACATTCTTTTGGTATGAATACTATGATAATCATCAATATTTAATACCATTACTTTATCCTTATATTCAGCAAATGCAGAATTAACAGTTTCAGCATATTCTTTAAATACAGCAGTTTTATATCACGTAACTATACGAGATGTTATGGCTATACCTAAATTTGCAAGAGTATCAATAAAAGTATTAGAAACACTGGAGGAATCCAAATATATTGTCAAATTCTTCTTTGCATTATTAATAAACTTATTTTGAATTTCACAAAGAAAATAGCATATAAAAAGAAGTTGTTTTTTGCTTGTATTTGTGAATCTTTATTTTTTGAAGATGGATTAGATGAAAGATACAATTCATCAAATAATAGCTTTAACCTTGCATTCTTTGCTTTCATAATTATCCAAAATTCATCAAATGAATATAATGTTGGTTCTATTTCTTGATTTTCACGAGTATATAGAATATTTGTTATCATTTCTATTGTTTTAGAAAAAGATAGAATAGAGTTAGATTTAAGTTTACGCCATTTTACATTAGTTTCAGTATACTCTTTAGCATACTGTTGAAATTTGAGTGAGCTATTTGTAATAATTCTATTGTAACAGTTTAGACAAATTGTATCTCTTTCTTGAACATAAGCTGGTAAGATATTACTGGCTTAATCTTTAGTTAGAATATTCTCAGTTACTTTTCTTCATTGAGTCGATTTTTTCTAGGATATAGCAATTACACAAGGTCTGGTAATAGCATTTGATAGTGATATTGCCTTCTAAGTAAAGTACTCAGGGTTTCTGATTATTTTTTGATTATTTTAAACGGAGAATCCTAACGTTCTTTTAAAACTAAAAATGAATTTTTTTTTAACTTTTACTAATGGTAACACAGTATTCTTAAAAAATACTCTAAACTGTATAAATTCAATTAAAATCGATCTACCAATCATGTGAAAGTCACTCTATGACATCAGGCGCTATGCATGCATGGCTGAGGCTTCAGAGATTTCAGAAGGATTTCTACATACTTTACAATCACGTTTGAGACTCTCGAACTTTTTCTTACAATACGTACCAGTATAAGATGTTTCAAACTGAAGGTTGATTTTTGTGGAGACTTTCTTCCAGAAAATTCTCTTTCCATTCCCAGCTAGTTCATGAAACATTTTATTATTTTCTTTGTGATTGTCAATTAATACTCGAAGTTGCTTATCGGTCTACATAGCTAAAAACTTTCTTATTTTCTCAAGTATATAAAAAAGATTTTTCCAAGACCAAGTTATTATATATATCTTCCTTAACCACATATTTGTAATTACGTAGGAAGAAAAATTGGTAGACCAAGTCATCTTATATCGAATGACTCTAATATATTGATGTGGCTTAGATAAAATTTTCAGCTGGACCTGATCAAAATCACGTGAAAGTAAGACCTATTGGCTAAATAAAAATATGTCATAATAGGTTCAAAAGAATTACTGCGTTAATACCACATTGAATAATATATATTAGTATTAGATCTGAAAAAAATACTATTTCAATATCATACTATTACCGTAAAATTACGTAATACTATTCTTTTTCCAGCTCTGAAGAAAAAATTCAGAAGATCTGCTAGACACAAAATTAGCTCTGATCAAGAATTTCATGTGACGTTATGACTATTGGTCAGCAAAAAAATCATGTGATTTTGACCAGAGCGTTCCGGCTGAAAATTGCCAAGAAAAATAATAGGTTATGGAATCACCAGATTTCTAAAATAGGCTGTTATCTCAGAAAATTGTCAAGAAATAAAATATGTATATTTATGAAATTGATCACCAGGGTCACTTTAATGATACAGTATTATAAATAAATACAAAGGTTCAAAGAACTTGCCTATAATACATGATATTTCTATGATAAAATATATGAAAATATTTTACTAACTATTTATTATATAGGGACGTGGAAATAGTAAGACTTGGATTAATATTTCAGGGTGGCTTATTCTAATACCTATATTAGAAGACTCCTATTCACGTTCATTACATTTCTTAAGATTAAAAGTAAACGAATAAGAGATTTCAGACGTGACTGATGAGGAGATAATGGAATTTTCACATGATCTAGGTGGAAGTATCTTGGTATATCAACCAGATCCTTCACAAGAATATTCAGATATATAGTTGTATCTGCAATCTGAATTCTCACTATACCAAATTGATTACCAATTGGTCTACATAATGCACTGATATAACTTATCCCATCCAATGTTTTTTTCCATAACTTAACCTTGTCATCTGATTTTTTTGAGTTACTGCAGTGAACTATTGATATAATGAATTCTAGGATCTGGATATCAACTTCGTTATTAGCTTATAATGAATTTTTTAAAGAATTTAATTGGCTAGTTCACTATAATAAGATAATTTTAATATATTTGATTTAAAAATTCGCTATATCAAGGATTCACTATATCAAGGTTTAACTGTATATTAGTAGATGTAGAATAAATAAAATTATCCTTTATTTTCTGAAGATTTATCTGTTTCTTTTTTTAAAACTCTTTCTAAATAACGACTATTTCTATCTGTAATAATGGGTGATCTACCACTCTGAGTGGCATTGTTTCAAACCTAAATTTTTATAAGCAAATATAACATTATGAACGGTGTTTTTGGAATGGTTAAGATCCTCAGCTATTTTTCTTTCAGTTATATTACATTTTCAAGTACTGATGATTTCTTCACGTTTAAAAACAGAAAGTTCTGTTTTTTAATAATCATTTTTTTATTTAAAATGAATAGCCAAAGCTTTTTTATGAAACATTTTAAAATTTAGCCTAAATAAACATACTAATTATGGAAAAATCTTGTTTTTATTTAATATTAATTAAGAAATGATCTGCGGTGATTTTTGTCTCCCTTCTTATATATACTGTATATCTTTTATAATTTAAATTAAATTCTTTTGTAAATTAAAAACTTATTTTTAATAATAAATTTATAATATTAGTTAAATAAAATGTTAATCAATTTTTATTTTATTATAATTAACTATTAATTTTAAATTATAAAAAAAAATTTGCTTATTAATAATTGTTAAGAGAAAATAATTGTAATTAAAATAATAATGAATTATGTATTTTTTTTTTACTTTAAAAATTATAAAATTAAGTATTTTGCAATAAATGTGAAAAACCTATTAAAAATAATAAATTTTTATTATATATATTATAAATATAAATTCAAATAAATTTTTAAGTTTTTTTTTTCTAGTATTCATTTATAAATTATTTATTTTGTTTTTTAATAAATATTATTATTATCTGCTAATTGTATTTTAATATATAAGATATATCTATTTTAAAAATAGTATTAATAATTTAAATAACCATTTTTAATTAAATAAATTAAAAAAATAAAATAAAAAATGCTGTTATTTATAATACTATGATATAAAGAAAACAGATATGTTGATCATTAACTCTTTATAACATTGGATTTGTATTCATACTGTACTTTTATTTAATACATTTTTCTCATTGACTCATTTGACGTAATAAGTTTCTTGAATAAGTGAGATTTTATACGTGCTTTCCAAATATGATTAACGAATGTTAGATTTCGGCTGCAATCACCTTATGTAATAATGTCTGAGTATTCTTTTATTTGAAAGCATGGTTGATACTATATCAAATAAAATTTGTCCTGCTGGTTTCTAATCAATAATCTAACTATATAGAATATACATCTCGGTCACCAAATATCAGTAGCTGCTTCATTTATTTTGACAAAAAAGCAGTACAAAAATTAAGAAAAAACCTTAAAAACGCCAAAATATTTTCTCGCATCATTGTATTGATGTAATGGTTTATGTACGTGTGGTAGTACAGATTCAACACAAGATTTTTAAACTGCGATAGATAATCAATATTTTATATAATATATACATAATGTTATCAAACAAATAAAAAACATTTCGGTATTCGGCTGAATTTTATTTAGCCACATATTACTAACTTCAAAATAAATTGACCGGTTTTAACCGGTTTAACAAATATTTGTTTGGAGATCCGTTTTTTTAAGTGATTGTTAAATAAAGATTATCAATTTCTTTTATTTTTAGTATATTCTATAAATGCTTATCTTTTTAACTAATTTTACAAAATGATTGACCCCAAATTCCTATAAATGTTAATTAAATTTATATAAATGAAGAAATAAATTGGTAACCAAAACAATTTTTCTGTGAAATACATGATACGATTGTTTTGTAATCATCCTATAACAGGAAATACAAAAGTTTCATTATTTTTGTCATTCCATTTTTTTGACTGGTACCAAAAAAAATCCTGAGGTTAACAAAAGGAACAGAAATTCTCCCAGTATAATTATCAGGAAAGAAAGAGGATCCGTCCATTCAACAATGACTAATCTCAAAATTAATTTCCGTAACAACTGTATTCCAAAAATGTAAAACATATCCCCTTATAATTAAATTTAATTGATTAATTATCTATGGATTCCAACGTCGCGGAACTAAATTTGTAATAATTAGAATGAGAATGCACGGAATTTAAAAATAATAATTCGCTCGCGCGATGATTTAGCAAACATCATCATGTGTGAAAAGTAAATGTTTACTTGTTGCGGCACATCCATTTGTACAATTAAATGCTGAAATTACTTCTTCTGAATCGAAATCGTTCCACCAATGCATGAATTTTTTGAACAATTTATCCGAATTGATACGTGTGCTTCTAACCATTTCTTTTTCAATTTTATCGTCAAGTATTGTTTGGTTTTTTTGTTTTATAAAAGAAGAAGATTTTATTTTCTGCATGAATTTTCGTCATTTATATGACTACTAGGTAAACTTGCATATCTTTGGCATTTTTTGGATAAATTCTTTGTTCTTTGAAATACTGTTAGCACATGATAAACATAATAAACACTTGAATAAACCTTCATTAAGAGATTTATTTTAACCTTAAATATTTTAACCATGTATCGTAACAACAATATTACGTTTGATAACCGCTAACCTTGAAAAACTGTAATAGTTTATTTCACATAAAGTTTTCTTACCAACTCTATATTCGGGATAAACGGATAATTCATTTCCGAATCCATTTCCTTTTTCATTTGATGATTATTCTACCATAATAAGAATGATAAACAATGTTAGTAAAAATTGGGTAATATTATGATCTATATTATCAGATTACTTTTATATTAATGAATGAATAACACTACAATGAGAATCTCACCAATTGAAAATCCGTATCATATTACCAATTTTGTGCTAGCCTTTTATTTGATCCATTTACAAAAATGTCGAATGTTAATGCCGTAACTATAAATATTCCCCGGGGGTTTTTTTTTTGCTTTTTTTAAAAAAAAATTACCTTCCCTACTTTTTAATTGACAATTTTTTTTCTATTCAACATATTTTATTTATAAACTTGTTAAACTTATTTATTTATTTATTATTTATTATTCTTCCTATAATAAATAAATGGATTTGAATAGACTTGCCGCACTTGGTTGTTGTTCTTGGTATTTTAATAGAAAAGCAAAGGTAATTAATCTATTGATGTTTTAATTTGATTTAATTACAATAAATGACATATGTAATGTATATATATATCCCTCTCTCCTAGAATACTAAGAAAGAAAATACAAATCCATCATCACAATCAGATGTAATGACGAAAAAGGAATTAAAAAGTCGTCGTAAACAATTTGGTATATGTTTAAAATGTGGTCAAACTTTGACGGATTATAAATTTTGTCAATCATGTTCATCAAAGGAATTTCAATCAAAATTTAATGATTGGACAAGCGAAGATTTATGTATAGATAAATTCATACAAGGTTCACAATTAAAGGCGACGAATAACCAATCTTATTTATTATGGATACCTTTTGACGATTTTATCAATGTAAAATATTTAGCTAACGGTGGTTTCGCTTCGGTTTATTCGGCGAGATGGGATCATTTTGAGACTGGTGATATAGTTGACGTTGTGCTTAAACGTTTACATAATGGACAGATTTCCAATCCTGAATTTTTAAAAGAACAAGTTTCAATGCTTTTATATGGGGCTATGAATAATAGCAATATCGTTAAATGTTATGGTTTCACCAAACACCCTACCGAAGGTTATATGTTGGTATTGGAACAAGCTGAGGATGGTGATTTGAGAGGTTTTCTTCGTAAACAATCTTCTACTTTCTTATGGTCCGAAAAATTATTCATCTTAAGAGAGATTTCGAAATCACTTGAATTACTTCATCAACGTGAATTCGTTCATGGTGATTTGCATACCGGTAATATATTAAAGACAAATGATCAAAGGAGGTCATGTCGAATTCTCAAGAATAATAAGAAATGTCGTCATGAAAATTTAGAAATAATCGTTGATTTACCGTTATATTTTGATTCAAACACTTCATACACTTCACCTTTTGGTGTTATACCATACGTCGCCCCTGAAGTATTTGAGAAAGGTTATTATACAAAACAAACTGATATTTACAGTTTCGCTATAATCATGTGGGAATTAGCTACTTATCAACAACCTTTCTTTAAATATTCAAATGAAAAGGATTTGGTTCATGATATTCGGAATGGTATTCGTCCGGAAATTGATGATCAACAAATCCCTAAATGTGTTTTGGATTTAATGGAAAAATGTTGGGATCCTAAACCATTTAATAGACCTTCTGCTCAAACAATTACTAGTATAATCGATGAATGGATTTGGATTCTATCTGCTTCAAAGATTAGATTATCTAATAAATCTAGGGATATCTTAAATCAATTTTCTTTGGCTAATAATAATACAAAGAAAAAAGTTAAACTTCAATCAAGGTTACCCCCTTCGCTTGCTCGTTCTTCTACCCTGCTTAGAAACAATATTTATTATAGCAAGTCTTTGAGTAAATATTTAATTATTATGGATGTTGAAAAAACTGCTAATGCTGCTTCTTTTGCTGCTTCTACCAATTCAGTTAATTTTGGTAAAATGTCAAAAATATTATTTGAATGTTATTTAAAGTTAATATTTTTATTAACATGCATTTTTCTAATTTACAGATACAGATGGACAAGATGACTCTGAATAAATAGATTTATCTGATTAGACTCTGGCAAATACTTTTTGATAAGTATTTATTCACAATAACATCCTCTTCCCGGTAAAAAAAAACTACCTTTCATGTTTTCTTGATTCGAACTATTTTATTTCGTTGGAAGGCTTCTTTTTGAACTTTTTTACGTAATTCATTGGAGAAACTGCATTATAGAAAAAGATTTTGCGATTCAATTCACGAATTCTTTGATTATATAGAATTTTAAAAAAAAACACCTAATAATATACTTTTTTTTAAAATTTTTTTTTTTTTTTTTTTTTTTAAAAAAGTTTTGTATTTATATCTTTCATTTATTCTTATTTCTATCTGTATCCATATTAATTAATAATACAATAAATTATGTTAACTTTAATTTTCAAATGGCCAAAAAAATCTTTTGGCCATGGTCAAGTTATTAAGTTTATTTCAGTCACATGATTAGTATTTAGAAATTTTCTACTAAAAGAATCCTGATTAAACGTGTCATCATATTTTTGATGTATTATGTCCTAGGAATAATACACCGAATTTTTATATAAACTACTACAATTTTTTACATACTTTTTACCAATAAATAAAATTTATTAATTTTTGATAAATAATTTTTATGTTATTTTCAATATTAAGATTTGAAAAGAAAACTTTGAAAAAATAAATTAATTGAGCATTACAAAATTACATATATTAATAAATAAATTAAAAACTAAATTCGAAACTACTTTATTACAAACTAAGACTGCAATATAAAAATTTTAATTATAAAAATTATTAACGTTAATAAATATTTAAAAAATTGCAATTTTAAAATTTTTAAATATTTCAAATATCATTTTTTAGCTATAAATTTATTAAAGGCATTATTTTTAGTTTTTATTTATAATATTTTGTTAAATAGAATTATATAAATCAATTGAAATTAAATTTTAGTTTTTTTTATTATATAGTTTTAGATATTTTAAAATTTAATTTTATCTAAAATTGTTTTTAAAATATATTAGCTTTTTAAAATATTATAATAATATTTTTTTTTTAAATTAATATTTTAAAGTTCAATCTAATTAATAAAATTATTAATTAAAATAATGTTACAACTATAAGTTATAATTTTAATAATGTAATTGAAATTATAAAGTTATAGAATTTAAATATAAGTATTATAATATTTATATTATAACTAAAGATGATATTGCAAATGATTTAAAAAAGCTGAACTGATTATAATTCAGATTACAACCTAAAAAGTTACAATTAATTGGTGACTTTTATATTATATTTAAAATTTTGCAAATATAAATTAGTAGTTATAGATTTATCTTTAATTATAATTATAAAGAATACCTAAAAATTTTCATATACATATAAAATAAAAATATCTCAAATTTTATTAAAAAGTGATCAAATAAAAATGATTTAAGATAAATAATCTTAATTATTTAGTTTTTTTATATAAATTTCTATTTGGAATTATTACAATAAAAATTTTATAAATATATAAATAAAACATAAAAAAACATAAAAAAAAATAGTTATTTAGGTAAAAAGTAATATATTATTTATAGTTTAAACTGAAAAAGTCTTTTGAAATAATAAATTTATCTTTTTATATTTCTAATAAAAGTATATTAATTAAGTTTAATATATTAAAAATTTTATAAAATACTTAAATAATTTTTTAAAAACTAGGGAACGGGATCCATTCAAAGTCCAAAGTATATAAATTATAATATCATATTTTACATGATTAATTATTTTGTAACACAAAAGACATAACACATGATAACATAAACAAAATGTCATTGGTTATCAGGCTTGCCAAATTTGAACAGACAGAATGACCTTGCATTTGAATGTCATAGTAGTAAAGTGTCCTCCGCTATGCTTCGGATAATTATTATATTTAAGTTGTAAATTTTAATAAAAATTAAATTTATTAATATTAGAAGATTTTATATTAATTACAATTTAATTATTTATTAATAAAAATTTTAGATGTATTTATTTATAATAATATACTTAACATTTTAAATTATTCTTTATAATTATATCTAATTATAATTAAATAATTAGTAAATTTAAAATTTTAAATAGTTTAAATGGTTTTAAATAGAATCAAATAATTTTAACCACTTTTTCTTATGTTTAAAATCTTATTTAAATATTTAATATCAAAATAAATATATCTAAAATTTTTAAAATAATTATATAATATTACACTGTTTATATAATTTTAATATTTTTTAAGATTTTAATTTTACTTTTAAATTAAATGCATTAAATATTAATAAATATTAATAGAACAGATATATAGAAAGTTGATTTTTTTTATTTATTTAATAAATAGATTTTAAGAAACCAATTTGAAAGTATATATGATAGTATTATATATTGTTATACGAGTCGATTACGAAGTCTACCAACTGAAAATAGACTTCAACACATATAGCAAGGTTTTAGTTATCTGAAGGATAATAACTTAATTTAATAACTTTAAGAACTTGTTCGCGTTAATGAAACTATTGAATTAACAATATATCAATTTATAAGTACAGGGAATGTTGAGGATATATAATTATAAATTGGGAGTATG